TAGGAACAAGTGCATCGCTTCTAGTAACAAGTGCCTTACTAGTAGTAACAAGAAGCTAGTAGTAACAAGTGCATCGCTTCTAGTGACAAGGCAGTGTATGACATGGGCACTTCAGGAATTGTATTTGTCCTGCTTTGCAACTGCAAATCTGATCAGGAGCCTTTGCACCCTCGCTTTCGTTTGACTGCTGGAGTGACCTCTGCTCAATTCAAACATTTGACCCAGTCCACCTATCAAAGAATGGTCAGAAGAGTATGCTGGGCATAGTCACTTGTGTTTGGTGCGACTTTCGTTTCCGATGTCATTTCTCCTTAAAGCTCACCGTTCGTATGACACCGTGCCAGGATGTGGTTCGGAAAGAGGAGGAGATGCAAGTTGACGTTGTTGCGCCCTCAAAAGCGGGGGAAGTCTTTACAGATGGGCAAATTCACAAGACCTCCAGATGAACACCAGATGAGAATGGCCTCCTATCTACTAGCGATGGCCTCCAACCTAAGAGAAATGGCCTCCAACCTAAGAGAGAATGATCATGTATGATCTTTGCTTTGACTTCAACATTAGCCTCCGATGCCAAAAGTCTAGAATGCTCTCTACGGTCTACTCTGAATGGCAAGAGTACCCCTGGGCATGCTCTTGCTACCTCATGCTACCAAAAGTGCATGTATTTAAAAGGGTGCCATTGGGATCCTTTTTGACAAGACTCGCAACCTTCCCACTCCTTGTGGGATCGTTGAGTACAGTGAGTATGGTGATGGTACGGTGATGTTGGAATCCACAGCGCCTCCAACCATAATTTTTACCGTTGAACTTTTGAGGTCTCCATGAAAGATATCGGTGGAGCAACAGAGGTTGCCAGCTCTGGAGACTGCAAGGTGTCGCCGGGCTCGCGACATACGAGAGTGGTGTAACTTGAACCTGCTCAGCAACGAAAAATAATTACCACGACTTGGTTTAAGAATGTTTAAGAGAACGCCCCTAAGATGCCCCGAGTTTTCTTGACGTTCACTATCCCCAGCACTTAAATCTAGAATGCCATGGGTGCCTTGCAGAAAGCTACTCCCACTGAGAACAAGAATCTCCCCTTCACAAATTGGAACAAGTTGGCAAGGTGTCAGAAGTTCGACGATCTCCTGGCCTTCCTACTAGGAGTAAGGACCCTCCTGGCATCGCTACTAGGAACAAGAAACTACTATAGGATACTATAGGTACACCTTTTGTAGCGTTCCGCATCCGATTTGCAATGTCTCGGTCGAGACCGGCACAGAGTGCCGTTCCTGTGCCAGGTGCGGTTGAAGCACAGCCCCTTTGAGTTGCACTTCATCGTCAAAGATGAGGTCACGACAAAGCAGAGCAGAGTGGAACAGAGTGAAACAGAGTGAAGCAGAGCAGCTATCCTCCTTTGCTTTCATTTTCTCTACGCCCTGGTAGCGCTTTGTACTTTGCACAGCTTTAAGGCTTCGCTATGGCTTCGCTAAAAGAGATTTCTTCTCGAGATTTGACGAAGTCAAGGTCGTTCAGAAGCTCAATTCGCAGCACCTCTTGAATTTCGAGCGGTATCGGCCGAGGGGCTCGCAGCACCGACTCGGTTGTTGCCAACTATACAACATGGGGCTCAAAGATTTGTTTTTTACATTTTATGTTTAACTTTATTATACTTACTTTGTTCATGTTTGTTATATATATATATATATAATAGTTCTCAATGTTTCACATCAAGTTGTTTTTGCCCGATTTGCTGCCAGGCAGCCTCACGCAGGCTTGGTTGATGCCACAGATGTGGACTCCAATGACCTCTTCGAGGTGGGAAACGCCCGGTCGGCGCAAAAGACACTACTAATACAGTAAAGACAAGTCTAAATGGACAAGTCTAAAGGTTAAGTATCCCAACTCTTTATGTTTTTAGGAGTTTGCTTTCGATCTCCACTCCATAAATTGGCAAAACCGAAAGGCGACCCGACACAGCTGTAGCAGCCTCCTTCAGCTTGCCCGCTCCCAATGAAGACCCTTTGTCTAGCGTAGCATCCTTAACCATTAGGTTAGGTTTGCCTGGATTTCGCTCCGAATAGCGAGGGCCTCCAACCTACTAGCAATGGCCTCCAACCTACAAAACACTCTGGCTCCAGCATGCTTCAACCATCCACATAGCAACGAACACCTGATGTCTTTTGAGCACCTTCCCGCCATGCGAGAGTCACCAAACTAAACATGTCTAAAGAACACTGCAGTGGCCATTTCACCATCAACCCCCGCTGATACCTGACAATGAAACGAAAAGCACTGCCTGCAGATCTGCTTACAACCTAGCCTTGGATGTGTTTGACCCTGACTTGTAACAAGCTATTTAGCGCAGGAATCGGTTCAGATAGGTGGGACAATGACCAGGACGGCACAAATCTTCGTAGCATGCTGTGTAACAGGACGGTAGCTTCGGATCAGGTGGATCAGGTGGTCCTGTCTCTCACTTTGGAAGTGTCTACCTACTGCCAGCTCTACCATGACTTGACTGAGCGCTTGCCGGTGAGAAGAAGCCGGTCGTGTATCTTCAACAATGCCCCAGCTCAGTGAAATGGACGGCAAGCGAACCCCTTGCCTTGAATGCGATTGCACATCCACCTTTGAGCCTGACTTCTTTGTCCAGTTTGTTCCACTCCCTCTGTCAGAGCACAAATCGACGATTGTCTGACATGGGCCTGGCCAAAAGATAGTCGCTGAAGGAAATCCGCTCAACGCGGCTTGTGATTTTGTCAGAATAACACCCGGGCACCTTCCAGGGTTTAAACATGGCATCATTCCGAACAGGTACTTAAGATTCACACAGGAAGTTCTCATTGGATATTGCAGCATTGGTGCTTTTGGATACTGGCGTTGGTTGTTTCAGGAGAGCTTTGGTGGGCATACCGACAGCAAGCCACGTGGCCCTGCTGGCGTGGGGATCGATGTGAGCTTCGAGGAGAGCCGCAGGGCATTGTCTCAGTCTGCTTTGTCTTCGGTTCAGCGCAGGATGCGATTGACGTGTTTGGTTTGGCAGAGCATGCCACCGGTCTGGGCTTGGCTGAAAACAAGCTCTCGCCCTGCACTCGGAAGACGCGCAGTCACACAGTGATATTGGTGGTAGGGTGGAAGAACCCTTTCACATGTATACGTTCGTTTGATCGGTTTAACCGTCAAAGGACTCCTTGGCAGGTGCGACTTCAATTCATTGTGCGACTGAGGCCCTATCGGTTCTTCAACCTGGATGTTTTTGAATATGTCGGACGCCGAGCAACGCCAACGGATCTGAATCGATCTTCTCAGTATTGCTTACAACACGTCAAAAGGCAGCACAGCGTGGCAACAGAAGGAAACATGATGAAACATGACCATCCTAAACCCCAAACACCGGGTCACTTCGCGCCTTCCCAAGCGGTCCAAGCAGGCTTCCCCCCTCAAGTTCGCCGTCGCCGCGCGGTCTCGACCGAGATTTCGTTGCAAGGCTTTGGACGTCCCAATGGCGCTCTATGGGGCGGCCGGGAGCCTTTGCTACGGCTGAGTGCGAGAACTGAAGGCTGATTTGGACTAAGATCCCTTTAGTGACTGCAATCCACCAGCCAAAGCCCGAAGCTGAGACTTCAGATCGGCTCAGGTCAAGAATTCGTTCACCTAGGGACCTTGCATCTACCTGTCTTTTTGAGAATGCGTGTGCTGCAATAGGTCTGGCGGTGCCTTCGCGAGTGGCTTTTTCTTTCCAAACCCGCTGGGGGCCATTCTGAAGCACCAGCTGTGTCCAAGACAGATACTTTGAGCACAAGAACTGTGTCGACAGATACTGTTTGAGCGGCATGGACGGCATGGACCACTGGTAGCAAGAAGCTACTTTGTGTGTTCTTGGCTGTGGTAAATCCTGTGCTGCAATGCCGATGGACGTGAGGTCAGAGGGGTTTGTTCACGTGGAAAAGCAAGGCAGGTTCTAGTGATTGTCGTGCGGTGTCCTGTGGCGTTCTTCGTCCCACCTGGCGAGGTCATGCAACGCGTAGCTGGTGGCTCTTTGAGTCTGGTGTGATGGACATGCACCTGCCTAAGCCTACCCTCGCTCACCGTGTTTGTTAGTGACCTATGACTCTATGACTGGGACTGCTACTGTAAGTGGGCGACTGTTACGGTCAATGGACATGCAAACAACATTTGTCCAGCCCGATGATGGTCCGGTGAAAGGCAGTGTCCTTGCTCGCCGGTCTGAGGTTCTTCCTCGCTGGCCCTGCTCCCCAAGACGTGCTACAGAGGTGACCTGGGACACACGTACAAGGGACAAGCGTCAACCCGAGTCAATGGTTCACAGGTACCACATGGTGACAGGGCACGAGCCTTAAAGATGAGAGACTTTGGGCAAAGACAGGCATCAGGGAAGGAGGAGAGACAGGGATTTGGGTTGTTTACATCGTTTACTACCGTTTTTGGGGGTCTAAGAGCTAAAGCATCACGGAACAAAGAATGGCCATCACGCCAAAAGCGAGCCCATCCAGACTGTGTGCACTGAAGATGCAAACAGAAAGAACACCAAACAAGACTTTCAAGGAAGGTAAGGCCCCTTTAAAGGGCCAAGGCCGTCGCTACTAGGTTGGAGGCCATCTTCTTATCGATGTTTGGTTCATTTCTCTTTTCGGGGTCTCTATTTTGGCCGCACAAGTGTACAGTCAAATGCCACATGCAGGTCGTCAGACTTTCTTTCCGTGTGGCTGAGGTTTCCGCGGCTACCTCCCTTTACAACCCTTGGCAAGCACCAGCACGAAGCACAGAGCGCGGGGCGCGGGACGCGAACGCATGAAGGACGAACGGATGCCATCCCTTTAGTTGTTGAAAGACGGAACTGGACTCAGAAGGCAAGAAGGGGAAGGCTTTCTGTGCCCTGGGCCATGGCCCCTTGGTTTGCTTTCTTTTGCGATGTTTGTTTCTTTAGATGTTTGTTTCTTTTGTTTGTTATTTTTTTGCACTTTTGCCTTTTTACGTCGTGTTTTCTTTTCTAGGGTTCTTTTTGGCCATGATTTTGGGTATGGCTCTGTATGCTTTCAGCAAAACTCCCCGTCTTGGACAGACGGCGACACTGATCTTCCAGGTGCCGATGGAACTATGTAGACGTTGATGACTCCATCAACGTCAACAGGACAGAAAACGGGCCGCTAGCCGCTAGCTCGTGTGACGCTGATGAGCTGATGATTGTGTAGAAATGGCAAAGTGCTCCTGTATACAGAATATAGACCTAAAACTCAACTCCTAAAGAGGCTCTCCCTTTCAGTCTGTTTTCTTCAAAACGCAGGAAGTTTGACCAATATGACATCCCTTATGATGTTCTCTGGCTCGACATCGAGCACACAGATAGCAGCTGGCCCAGTGGCACGGACCGGCCACGTTTGAGCCAAGCCTCAAGCGCCAAGGCTGGCAAGTTGTTGCTCCATTTCCGAGGTAAGAAGTACTTCACCTGGCATCCAACTCATTTCAGCCAAGCTGGAAAGCTCTTGGATACACTGGAGGTGACGATCAGGGGGACATTGTGAGATGTCCTGTTGAATGTGGAGACGCACAGAAGCAGTGCCCACAAAAGATCACACAAAAACACCACATAAAACACAGAGATTTGTATTCCCCTGACTGTCTCATCGAGTGCCGCATGAATTGGGTGATGTGCTGGTGCATGCTGGTGCCATTCGTTGTTTTCTTTTTGTGTATCTTGCAGGCGTCTGGGCGCAAGTTGGTGACCATCATCGACCCCCACATCAAGAAAGACACAGGGCACCCCGGCCAAGGAAAAGACGAAACCAAGGGATGACACACAAAAAATGAAGATTCCAAGGGATGGCACTTCATAGATCGTTCGAACGAGAGGTATGACGTCTACAAGAAAATGCAGGCACGTCATACCTCGCTCCGTTCTTTGCATTCAAGAACTTCGAAGTTTTGGTATGGAGAACGGGTTCGCCACCATGTTGTCACTATGTAGTTCTTGGCACCCGCCTTCAATACCCACGAAGTTCATTCCGATTCTTTGCAGTTTCATCCGGTTCATCTCTCCTTTTGGCCCGAAAGATTCGCCTGCCCCCTCCAGTCGCACGACCTGTTCACCAAGACCAAAGACAAGCAACTCTACGACGGCGGGCGGTCCGCGGGGGACGTCCGCGCGGGAGAGCTGATGAATGCACATGATTGACTCATGCAATCACTCATCTTTGAGGTCATTGACTCATGGTTTTAGGTCCCCCATTTGTTTTAGCACGGCGCTTTTGCCAGGTTGGTGTTGGCCGGGCACCTCTTCATACCCAGACTTTTGCAATCCCGAGGCGACATAGCTCGACCGGGAACGGAGATTAAAGGGACAGATTTGGGGATTGATGTGATTGATGTTGACCATGTTTTTTCCCCAAATCCCGACATTGAGATTTAAAGACATTTAAAGGCATTGAGCTTTTGATTACAATGTCTTTAAACATAACCACATGTCGACTTACCGTGTTGAACCAACGCGATTCGAACGGCGCGTTGTGAACTTGGGTAAGACACCGGCTGGTCGTGAGGGCTTTCCAAGCTCGCTCGTTCGCCTCGAGGCTCGAAAGCTTTGGACCAGCTTTTTCCGGATGGACTACTATCCTCACAACAGGCGAGGGAGCGACGACTGGCGACTTTTGTTGGTTTTGGCGGTTCTCAGATCATCTATAGCCAGATGTTGGGTGTTCTTTTGGTAGATCTGTGAAGTAAATCAGGCATCTACAAGGTGCCCGCTAAGGAAAGAAAACAGCTCCTAATAAGCTGCAAGCAGCGACGCAAAGAAACGCGGGGGTGGCATGAAGAAACGGATGTTTTTCCAGACTGTTTCAAAGGCCAGTCACTCAGTGACTGGTGCATGACGAGGCCGGACCTCTACACGTGGAATGACATGAACGAGTGAAGCTCTCGGACTCGAGAAGGCAATGCGGTCACATCTCAGATGACTTCTAGTCACATGAATTCTAGACTTCTAGTGATTCTAGTCACTAGCAACATGATTTTGAAATACGTTGGCCTTGGGTCTCTTAGGTGTCCAGCTCAAGCTTGATAGGTGTCCTGATGGTCTATATAATGGCGTGTATGAGTCGGCGGGATGAGATTCACCATATGAGCTCAGGCCAAGTGTCTTCAATGGACCAGAGGTCACCATGCCGGGATCCGAACCTGTCACAGACAAGTGCAGAACGAGAAAATCCTCACAAGGCGAGGGACGCAAATCTAAGGCCACGGGACAATTTGCACAAGTGCAGCGAAAATGACTACAAGGTGAACACTGTGCTTAAAGACCTGACGAGAAAGAGAGAGGATATGTGGATATATGCGATGTTCCTTCTGGTGCTGTAAGATGAAACACAGGTCGAGCACCGAGACATACACAATGTCAAGGACTTAGAGGTGCAAATTGGACTCCGTATCTTCGGCAAAATCGTTTTGAGCACTGCGTGCGTGCTTTGTTGGACCTTTGTTGCCTTCTGGTTGCCTTTGTCGGCTTGAGGTTTATGGTTTTTATCATCACATGGCCATGCCCTGAAGTGCTGTGTGTGGTTCTTTATTGCGCCGTGTTGGTGGATCCCTTCGGTGTGGGTTCAGTATTGGCATGGCTTTGGTGAGGCCACTGTGGAAGGACAGCTGGCACGGGCTCCAAATGTGGGCATCTCAAGTCTCAAGCACAAGTGTTACAAGAACATGTCAGTTTGATTGACGTTATATGACGTTACTATGAGAGCTTCACTCATGTTTATATACAGCGTCGCGGCGTTTCTTCTTTAGACGTACCATTGTTGATTTTGTCGGAAAAAGGAAAACATTCTTCATTTTAGATTTCATCCTTTGACAGGTGCGCCCCTTTGTGCTGACGCGGTCCTTCTTTGCTGGCTCTCACAGACATGGGGCGATTTGGACCGGAGACAATATGGCAAAGCCTCTTTGGCTGATTTGGAGTATCCGCATTCATATCCGTGTTACTGAGCTAAATTATCCTTTCTTTGTAAAGCTTCTTGCCCGAAAGCCCAAAAGCTTCAGGTCAAAATCGAAGTCGATTGAGTTTCTTTCCCATGCCATCTCAGCCAGGTGGGAGCACCTGGCCATCTCAGTGCCTATGCTTGTGTACGCCAACGAACGAACGCGGATGCTAGGGACGTTTCGAAGCCAAGCATGAGACCTTTTCAGCTTTGTTCCATGAAGGTCTCTTTGCCTTTGTGGAGCTTCTTTCGTTGGAGCCGACGTTCCGGGCTTCTTCTATGCCTGGCGACTCGGGACTCGAAGGAACTCGTGCGTCCGTCTCCTCTCGAAGGAGAGCACATGCGAACACTGAGGATCCAGAGCCGGAACTCTTTCGAAGGCCGGACGTCAGAGGTCAAGAGGATCACAGAGAGCCACACAGAGTCACAAGGGTCATGCTGGCTGAGGTGGCACCAGCTTGGCATCTGGTATCCATTTTACAGAGGCCATGCCCATTTGGAGCATTGACCTCAGGCAACCGCCATCAACAAGATGAGATTCGACCAGACTGACTCAGGACTAAGAGAAGAGAACCCTGGATGCTGGGAGATGCGATCATGCAGAATGTCCGAGAGCAGGCGTCCAAAAGCGAAAAGCGCCAAACAGCCCTTTGCTCCTAGTAGCGGTACCAGGAGCCCCGATGGTAGCGTCCTTGTTCCTAGTAGCGATGCCCTGTGCTCCTAGTAGCGATGCCAGGAGCCCCGATGGTAGCGTCCTTGTTCCTAGTAGCGATGCCCTTTGCTCCTAGTAGCGTCCTTGTTCCTAGTAAGGCCAGGAGCCCCTAGTAGCGTCCTTGTTCCTAGTAGCGATGCCCTTTGCTCCTAGTAGCGTCCTTGTTCCTAGTAAGGCCAGGGAGCCCCTAGTAGCATCCTTGCTCCTATTAGCGATGCCCTTTGCTCCTAGTAGCGTCCTTGTTCCTAGTAAGGCCAGGAGCCCCTAGTAGCGTCCTTGTTCCTAGTAGCGATGCCCTTTGCTCCTAGTAGCGTCCTGGTTCCTAGTAAGGCCAGGGGCCCCTAGCAGCGTCCTTGCTCCTAGTGGTAAGGCCAGGAGCCCCTAGTAGCATCCTTGCTCCTGTTAGCGATGCCCTTTGCTCCTAGTAGCGTCCTGGTTCCTAGTAAGGCCAGGGGCCCCTAGCAGCGTCCTTGCTCCTAGTGGTAAGGCCAGGAGCCCCTAGTAGCGTCCTTGCTCCTGGTGGTATGGCCGGGAGCCCCTAGTAGCGTCCTTGCTCCTAGTGGTATGGCCAGGAGCCCCTAGTAGCGTCCTAGTAGAAACAAGATACCTTGTGAACCTGTGCTTCACATCCTCGGAGGTCAGCGTGCGGTATCAGATGTTGCCCACTTGGTGCGGCCCTCGAACTGAACCTCAGATCCTTGACGCCGGTTGACGAAGCCGTTTGCGAGGTACACGCTCTTTGCCCAATGGGCTCATGCAGGAGTCCCTATCATGCAGCCCCTTTGGTACCAGGAGAGATTGATTTTTTCAAACGAACAGCCGTGACTCTTGGCGTTTTGGTGTCCAAACGTTGCGTTCCACGAGGAGCTAGGCGACCTGGAGGCGGAGACATGGGCGTTTTGCAAAGACTGATGCGAATGGCAGTCTCGACTGAGGCCTTTAAGCATCAGAATACCCACTATTTGCTGGGCTCTTGGGTTCTGAGCGAGTGACTTCGATGTGAGTGTGCGAGTGACTGACTGAGGCTGGGCAGTGACATCCTCGTCCGTGCTATCTCCAAAGCTGGAGAGAAGTCAGTGGATCTTTATTTGCAGCTTGTTTGAAGACTGAAATCGGACTTGGGTCAGACCCAAGTTGCCTCTCCCAAAAGAACGTTGGACTTGGTAGCTCGACAGGGGCACAGCCTGGAGCAAGAAACTGAAGAAAGAACACACAGGTTTTTTTTCTATAGACGGCCTCCAACCTGAAAAATCATGGCCTCCAACCTACTAGCGACCTGCACCCTAATAGCGATGGCCTCAACCCTACTAGCAATGACCTTCAACCTGATAATACGTTTTTATATATTCAGAACATTCCTTCCTTGGACCTCATCCCCGTGTTTTCTTTGTCGTACACCTCTCTCAGCCTTTCTCGCGGGCGCCGCCGTGGACGCTCAAGGCAGCTACACACGAGTTACTCCCATCCCATCTCTGACAAAACTGAAGATGAGAATGAACTTGCTTTCGATTGGTTCCTTCTTGTTTTCTCGGCCTTTCTACCCTTTTCTTTTCCCCTCACTTCTGGTCGGAACTTTTCATCCGACCTGTCGACATCCGACCTGCAGGCCATCGGGCACCTGGTTCGACTTCTGGGACCTGCAGGTCGGGACGATCGGCGAACTCGGCGCGACTCCTCGCGTGCTTCGCGAGACTCGAAGCGGTAGCAGGATAGAAGAACTGAAGGAACACGGAACCTGCCGGTGCTTAGTGAGTCTTAATTCTTGGTGATCATTAGGTCATATTAGGTCATTAGGTCGTACTCTGAAATCTCTCGAATAGACATTCCGAAGAGTTATGCCGTTGCGCAGTGCCATGCGGTGACGTCATTTGTAGCGCTTGTAATAGCTGTGATGAAGTGTGTGATGTGTGATGGGGTGAAGCCTTGCGGTGGTGATTTCTAAGCAGATGCGTTTCATTGATAAGTTAAGATATCCAGTGCCTGTAGCAGCCTTGTCCGCCAAGGGACGAGTGATGCAATAAAATGCAATAAATGCCCCGCAACTTGGGTGAAATCAGGCCTGAGTGAATCTGAATGATAGCAAAACCAGAGTAGTTTTGCTCAGGGTGTTCTAGATCGAAGCTTGCTCACAGCGCGCCACCAATCTGAATAGAGCAACCAATCTTGTGCACCGCAGTAGATATTCTATGAATTCCGTGGAGCACGTGTCAAACCCTAGGAGCAAGGACGCTGCTAGGGGCTCCTGGCCTTACTACTAGGAGCAAGGAAGCAACTAGGAGCAAAGGGCATCGCTACGAACGGAGTGATCGGACGCTCCTTTGGATGTCCAGCGGCGCACATGCAATGGAGAGAACCCTGTGAGATGTGCCATGCTGGGGATGGCAGTCCATGAGGCTATCGCTATTAGGTTGGAGGCCATCGTTATTCAATACATTTTATCATTAGCGTTTTCTGTACTTGTTGAAGAAGAACATTGTTCCGGCTTTGTACCTCAGGCGGCTCCACTCGCTGGTGGCAAGCACCACCGAAAGACCAGCCCAGAGCATGCTTGGGCCTTGAGGGAGGGGAGGAAGCTGAAACACGGGAACCCTTAAGCCTGACAAAACTTCACAGTTCAACTCTTAACGATGTTGAAGGTACCCGTCTTCGTGCGGTCTGGGGCCATCTTAGTAAAGAAGATGAGGCAGGGACCAAAGGTCGCAAGGGGATGCTGGAAGCAAGTCGTGCCAGGGGGGAGCGAAAACGAGGCATTCGCAAGGCATTTCCAAGCTTTGTTGCTAATCCGGTCCACCTATTAAAAGACACGGGGTCCCCCCTTAATAAGGAAACCGCGGTCGCATTTTTTAAATAGGGGGTCCCTGAAATTGGGGTGGTCCAAAATAGGGTAATTTGAGAAGGGCTTCAAAACCAAAAAGTCACCCAGGAAAATGTTATGTAAAATCATTTATTAAACTCATATTTAAAAAATCAATGAACCTCCAGATCGAAGGTCTTCCTTTTCCCCCTACAACAACCTTTATTAGCATAGATATTCTTCATTAGACTAACAACTAAAGCTTTCGAAAGGTGATGTCGCTGTGCCATGCGGTTTTGCGTGACCTCGGTGGAAAGTGCGATTGCGTGAGTCCGTGCCATTGGGGGAAGGAAAGCCTGCTGGTGTAAACACGGCGTGTCATGGTGGATAGACAGGGTGGACAGAGGTGGGTAGTTACGGTTGTTATTGGGGAACCTATTTAAAAAAACTCCTCCAAAGTCGGCAATGTTGGTAGTTTAGTAGCGGCTTGAAAGGGTGGCAATTTAAACCGAATACAAACCGTATTTAGGGGTTTCCGACAATGACTTTTTTAATCGGGGCCCATTTTTAATAGGTACTAGGGCCCGTTTTTAATAGGTACTCGGGATTAACTTGTTTCATTTCCCTTTCTACCAGATTTCCGAAAGGCCTTCTGTTCCGAAAGCTGTAAGCGGCCGTGCTTTGTTAGACTTCAGATGACTTTAGGCTCTTTCCCTTTCTTCCGGTTCTTCCATAAGAGGTTGAACACTGTGAGCCTTATTCGATGAAGGGCGGGTGGTGCAACCTGTCAGGCGAAGGCGGAGCTCCATGTTAACGGCGGCTGATCCGTACACCCTCGTGATCTACGGAAATCCATCTCAAGGATCGAGCTTTGGAGAAGGTGTAGGGAACAAGAGGACGCGAACCGAACGGAACAAGGGAGCGATCGGACGCTACGAACGGAGCGATCGGACGCTACGAACGTAGCTCCTGGCCTAACTACTAGGAGCAAGGCAGGGCATCGCTATTAGTAACAAAGGGCATCACTACTAGTAGCATTCTTACTACCAGGATCGAGCTTTGGAAAATGTGTGTTCCTTGTTCCTGACAACATTGATTCATCCTGATTCATCTCATGTGCTTCTCCGCCGCAGGTTTTGTTTACCTTGATGATGGGCAGAGCCATGAGTTCAAGTATGAAACTTACAAAGCTTGTAGCTGCTAGTAACAATGTTCGCTACTAGGGGCTCCTGACATCGCTACTAGGAGCAAGGACGCTACTAGGGGGCTCCTGGCCGTACTTCTATGCGCAAGTAGCTACCAGTTAACATATGCCATCGCTAGTCGGGTGGAGGCCATCGCTATTTAGGTCAGACAAGAATTTCACGGTGAGCTCATTACAGGTCATGCTTGTTCCAAGGCAAGGAAAATTCATTTATGACAAGCTGCCCTTCAATGGAGAGGAACTGACCTCTCAGCTCACTTCTCAGATGGATAGATCCAGGACATGCTGATTCAACCTAGATAAATGCATCGCGCAGGAGGAGTGATGTGCAAATTCGTGCAACTAGGCCAAACCAGAGACTACACGCAGTCGGTCCAGCAAATGGAGGCCCCTTGTCTATGAATTGGGTGAAGACACGTCGCACAGGTTTCAACCCAAGAGTAGAAGTACTTAGTCAGTCATTCCCTAATGTCAGTCATTCGCAAAGGTTCCCTCATGTACTTATTGTGTATATAAACAAAATTGGACCCTCTCATGCTTTTTGTGTTCTGTTTGATCGCACTTTTCGTCTTGCTCCTGTGATTTCTGGCAAGGCTTGGGTTCGAAGCAGAGTACCCTCATCGAACGCCTGGTCTTCGTTGGGTCAACGCCTCGTAACGACTCCAGATGACTTAGGGTCATGAAAGGAACGGGAAGAAAGGCTGAGGAAGGTGTTTCTTCTTCTGGAACACCAAAACTACGCAACAAAGATGGGAAGATCATTAAGATCATCGTTTCTTCAGCAAACGAGACCGAGATCGTTTCGTCAGTGCTTTCGCATCGCATCGCTTCTTCGGCCTTTCGTCGTCTTCAGCGCGCCCAGGTTGAAATCGGCCCCACGGAGGGCCGTCGGCGGAGGGAAGGAGTTTGAGGCGCCGGCAGTCAGATCTCCAAAACTCAGCAAACTCGAGTGAAGAGTGCCAGGTGACCACGACTTCTATGAGCAATGGCGCATTTGCCCGCGGCTCCAAGTGTGTGGAATCAGCAAATCGAACACGTGCAACAACCAGCTCCAGTCCACTGCAATCAGGTGGCTAATGTCAAGAAGCCCATGTGCAACTTAGGGACCTCGTGGTGCTTGGCCCAGCGATGCGATGAATGCGAAAGAACATCTGCATGACAGTGATCTTTCCGACTGACTCAGTGAGACTTCTCCGTCAGGAAGCTACAGCTCCTCTTCTGACGGCACGATCGGCGGTTTTCGCCAGACCGGTGGGGTCTCGGTGTTCGCCACGAAAAAGGGCCGCCTTTTCCTGCCGGTCGCAAGACAGGAAGGCAGCATGAAGTTCCAAGGATTCATATTAGACACCTGCAAATGACTAAGACTGATCATTCCTTCCAAGGACACTTGGAAGTTCCAAGACGACCTTCCAAGATTAGAAGAAGGCTATAAGAATGACTAAGACAGTTTAAACTCTTTGTGACAAGGTTTCAGCGACGGGGGCAACAAGTGCAAAGACCTGAAAATCCAATGTTCCGGTAATGTGGCAGGAGAATAAACATGCACCTTATATAGATATATTTATCACGAAAGCTAGCGAAGCTAGCTGGAGTTACTCTTGCGATAGCAAGGTTTCTTTCGACCGGGTGCAAATCCTAACCCCTGATTTTTCAGGTCGAA